ATAATATTTTAAAAATTTCTTTTACAAATGGATATTTTTCGAAGCATAGTTTGAAATTATTTAAGTTATTTAGTATTGTCCGATATACAGTATATAGATATGATTCTAGTACTTATGTATTCTTAATGTGATCTCATTTTTTTGTTTATGTAAGAAATTAATTTTTAAACTGCACATACATATGTATATGTATGTTTTTTACGTTTCTGGGCCGTTATCTTATCCATTAACGATTTAACTATACTTTAAAATAGGTAAGTTGGCGGCCCTTAATATGCTTTATGTGTTACACAACAAGTTTTTTTGTTGAATAACATATTAATTCTTTCCAGAGTTCATTGTTTTTCTATATCATAACTTATAGAAAATGTTTGCGTGTATACTTATATATTTATATGTAGGTAAAAAAATTTAGCTACCATTTTTAGCCACAACGACGATTTTTAGCTCTTTTTTAGCCCTTTTTTAGCCTGAATTTAGCTACCGCTAAAAATGTTTCGCGGCAACACTGACTATTAGTCCAGGATCCCAGTGCCGCCAGACCTGTCTTATTTTCGAATTAACCAAATTTAGATAATACATAAGTAGTGTTATGTGTTGTTAAGTATGTATGAGTATCTGCTTGCTTGCTTGCTTGCACAGTATACCAGTAGAAAAGGTTTTTGTTGTTGTGGCTGTTAATTTGTCCCCATAAAGGACTTGAGGGTTGCCAGCAACTGTTTTGCCGCATTCAGGGTGTTGTGCAGCAAAATAATGTGGTGAAAAATTTTAACATCGGATAAATGGCGAGAGAAATATTGTTGTGCGCTTTATAAGTAAATATGACCGTAATAAAATGTTTTATACTTCAATACAACTAATTAGCGCTATTTTTGCAATTCGAAATGATCTTAAAATTATTTGTAGTGAAATATGTACTTTATGAGTTAAATGGAAACTATCTTATATGTAAAAACATATTCCGATTTACTTCAAATAAATGATGTAAAATGTTTTATATATGGATCTAGTTTTAATAATAATATCTAGTACTTTCGTCTACATTGCTTTTATTGTAAGTTTTCACGAGTAGTTGAAGTTTTCTGCAATTGTCTCTGGCCGACTATACATGCTAAAGCTAAATAATTTCACAATTTCTACCCTATTAAACGTTTATATTTTAATAAAATGTGATCAATTACTTAAGAATATATAATTTCCGATCAAACTATAACACTGAATGCTTGAGAAACAATTATTTAAATCAAAAGATCAATAGTGAACGCACTCGGAGCGAATTTTGGAACACGATATAAAATATGCATGTTAAGAATAAGTAATTTCTCATGAGCTTATGTTTTAACATAATATAATTCAATACTGAAGAATATATTAACTCCGATCAAACTATAGTATTAATTCTTTGACAAACTATTTAAATCAAATGATCAACAGGTAGCGGGCTCGCAGCGAATTTTGGAACACTTCATAAAATATTTACAGACGAAGTACATTATTTGGTAGAGATCAAAATGTATTTAACAAAGTGTGATTGAATTTGACATTGCTCTCAGAAGAACCATCCTATAAAGTCAAATTGAAAAAAATTTGTATTAATTTTGAATCGTTTCTTTATATTTTTTTACATTTTTACATAATAATATCTTAAAAGAGAGCCGCACTGAGTTGTCAATAACACCTTGGGCCGTATGCATAAAAACTAAGCAAATACTTTTTCAAAGATTTTCATACCTTTCACTTAAATTTATTTGAAAAAATTGAGTGAAAGGTCTGAAATTTTAAGAAAAAGCATTTGCTTAGGTTTTATGCATACGGCCCCTTGTTTAATACACCCATGATACAAATATTTAAAGGTAAAACCGCTTGCACAATTCGTCGGCCATCATTTACTTTTTGAAGTTTGTCTATTTTATAAAATTGAAATTTTGAGAGCAACTCAAATGCCAAATAAAGGTAAAACAAAAAACAAATAGATGAAAATATTGAAATTTTCATTTATTTGAGACTGATAATGAGAATGTATTTGTGAGATTGGAAATTTGAAAACATTTTTGTAATGTTACCAAACTTTAAAAATGTTCAGGCTGCCTTTCAACGGTTTTACCTTCAGATTTTTGTATCAGGAATAC